GTCCCCGAGACCGACAGCCGCCACCGAGGCCGCCCCAACGAGAAGGCCGCAGCGCGGGGAGTCCCTAAGATGGCAGCCGCGGCTGCACCGGCCGCCCTTCCCACGATGCCCTGCGCCGAACGTGCCGAAGCGCCGGCCCCGCCCCCTGGCGGTAGGCGGCGAGGGGAGCCGAAGGCGGGCGAGCGCTTCCGAGCGCGCTCGGCTTTTTCCGCCAGCCCCGGCGGAAGCCTGAGACGGGCTAGTTGCAGAGTCTCGCTCTTGCATCCGTGATTTTTTTTTTTTTTTTCCTGGTAAAATGCCAGCACCATGTAGAGTGAATTAATTACATTTTCGTGCGATTTAACTCACGCCTCGGCAGAGGTTGATTGATTGCCTTATTTTCTGGGAGTTGGTTTTGTCAGGCGAAACCTAAACAGTGTATCCGGCTGATCGTGGACATTTGCTTCTTGTAACATAGTTTCTAGAAGTTAGTTTCCTCATTTGTAGAATGGAGATAAGCACACTTTCTGAAGTGCTGGTGAGGCTTACAGGAGGTAAAGTATGCTGCAGGTTTTGATACATATTAGCTAATGCTCTGTAAAGGGCGTAATGTACCTTCTAACGGCTTTAATGTATTGACAAGTGCTTAGTTCTTACAATTCTGAGTTGAGTACTACTATCGTCCTTAGAGATAGAACCCCGAGGTCCAGAGAGGTTAAATAAGTTGCCTAAAGTCACACAGCTCTTAATTGTAGGTGACAGAAAAGGGACGCGTACCCAGATCATGTTGTGCAAAGCCTTTGCACATAACCAACAAGCCCCACCAAACCCTCACCAAGAAAAGTTTTGTTCCTATATGGTACAACAATCTAACTGTGTCATGGTCAAGCCCCCAAGGAAGAGGCAACATTATTTGTAGATGATAGGAAACCTTGAAAATCTAAATGCCTCTATTTTAAAATTGAGTGCAGTCAAATGCTTAACTCGAGATAGATAAATGGAAGAAAAATTAGAAATGTTCCTTTGAGTAAGAAATAACTTCTTAAAATAACAAGATTTTCTCCACAATGGCACCAGGAACCATAAAATACTTAGGAAAAAACCATTGCAAAAGCTTCATGATAAACTTTTGCTGAAGGGTAGCAATAAGGCCCCAATAATGGGACACATACTGTATTCCTGGTCGGTTAAAAAAAAAAGCCAATTCTTCCCAAGTCAAATTACAAAATTAGTGCTATTCCCATGAGAGTCACAAATTCTCTTGTGGATGGGTATGCTAGAACTAATTAAATAATTTTAAGTTTTATATGGAAGATCACATAGTTGTGAATTATCAAGAAACTTTTGAAAAGGAAGAGTGGTATCTTTGTTTCTGTGGGCTGCAATAACAAGATACCACAAACCCGGTGCTTTATAAACAACAGAAATTTATTTCTCACAGTTCTGGAGGTTGGAAGACCAAGATCAAGGTGCCAGCAGATTTCGTTTCTGGTGAGGCCCAGAGATTCAAAGACAATTTACAATGGTACCTTCTTGCAGTGCCCTCACATGGTAGAAGGGGCGAGCCAGCTGAGTTCTGTCTTAAGGGCACTGGTCTGAATGCTTGTGCCCCCCAAAATTAATATGCTAAAACCTAATTCCTCATGCAATGATATTTAAATGTGGGGCATTTGGGAGTTGACTGGATCATGGGGGCTCCAGCCTAATAAGTGAAATTAGTGCCTGTGTCAGTCCATTCCTGCTGCTGTAACAAAATACCTTAGAATGGGTAATTTGTAAATAATAGACATTTATTTCTCATAGTTCTGAAGGGTAGGAGGTCCACGATCAAGGCTCTGGCAGATTCAGTGTGTGTTAAGGGCTTGTTCTCTACTTCCAAGATGGTACCTTGTTGCTGGTTTCTCAGGAAGGGATCTGTCCTCACATGATGGAAGAGACTGTAAGCAAAAGAGCAAACGAAAAAGGAACTAGTGTGCTCCTTTCAATTTCTTTTATCAGTGCATTAATCCCATTCATGACAGTGAAGCCTCAAGGCTTAGTCACTTCTCAGTGGGCTCCGCCTCTCGATACCATCACATTGGTTATTAGGTTCCAAGATACGAATTTTGGAGGGACATATACATTTAAACCATTGCAAGATATTAGCACAGAAATAGGAAATAGTACAACAGAGGAAAGATCTATTCTTCAGATACATTCAATTAAAAAAAATTTAATGTAGAATGTATAGAATTACGCACCCCCTTTATAATGAAAATAGTTCTGTCAATCTAACCATCTGTGTATATCTATAACTATATCTATCTATCTATCTATCTGGAATGAAGTATACAAATATGACATACATGGATTTATATATCCATATATAGTATGGATATATATTATATATAGATATACCTGGAGTTTCATTTATATATGTATATGTGTAGACGCACACAGACACACACACAGAGGGTATCACACATACACATTTTAAGAAAGGAAAAAAACTCTATTCAAATTGTAACACTCAATAAGATGAAGTCACATTTGACTTATGTAATTACAAGCAGTGCTCAAAGTGGTTACCATCAGCGTCAAATACTTCTTGTCATGGTGAGCATCTCTTAAAATCTGTATGCATTTTTTAAAATTTTTTTTGGCATCCCCGGTTTTGTGTGCGTGTGTATTCAGAATAATGTCTATTTAATATTAAAGTCTGTTATTTCTAATTAGTGAATTAATTTTCTAGAGCTGCCCCAACAAATTACCACAGACTGGTGGCTCAAACTAACATAAATGTCTTCACTTATGTTCAAAACCAAGATGTCAGCAAGGCTGGTTCTTTTGGAGGCGCTGAGGAAGAATCTGTTCTGGGCCTCTCTCCTAGTTCCTAGGGCTGTTGGCATTCCTCAGCTTGCAATCTCTGTCTCTGTCTTCATTGTGCATCTGTCCTTCTTGTAAGAGCACTGAGGACTGGATTTAGGACCATATGGGATTACAGAGCTTTTAAAAGAGGATGATATCTACCCTGCTCTGGCCATACCTTTTTGTTGCCAACAGAGAACGGTGAGGGGGGTGCATTAAAGCCCCAGATGACTAGGGAATATCTCTGAGGATGCATTGAAGGAATGAGGGATACATACAAGTTATGCCTGCATTTTATGGTATAATTACCAAAGTCGTGGCATTTCACACTCCCTGAACTCATCTTGTGTTCTTATGTGTTCACTTGTTTATTGGCAGTTTTTTCCTCACCAGAATCCAGATTTCAGGCATTTGCCTATTTTGTGTCCACTGAAACCCCATGGGTTAGCACTCTAATCTCAATAAAAATACACCAAGTATACCTTGAAAGAATCAGATTTTTGTGATTTTTTTTTTCACTCTGAGTATGTTTGGTCTTATTTGTTTTGTTTTTAGACCCTTTAAAAATGCCCAGTTGCCTCCCCTCCCCCATTTCCTTCTCCCAATAAAAGCATTTTCTCAGTTCATCTCTGAATAATCTTGATAGCCAAATATAAACAACACACCATTCAAAACCAGGTCATTCTAAAGAACAATTCAAATGTAAAAAATGCCAAGGAGATGACTGAAAAGATCATTCCTCCTAATTCTTAAATTACTAATCCTCAATTGTTTTTCCCCACTTTTCAGAATCAGAGATCTATTTTGTCACAATTCCAGGAAGCGTCATTTCTTGAACTCGTAAATGTCGAGTCCCTGGTTTATGGAAAATCCCACGCCAGTTGCTCAGAGAATTAAGTCTACACTTAAAGTGTGGGTGGAGTCCTTAGGGACCATGCTTCCCCTCTCTGTAACTCACTCACCAACCCATCGCTCTCTTTTATTGCTAGTTTTACGCTCTCATACCCCGACTTTTCCCAAGCTGTTTGAAATCCTATTTGTACCCATTTCTCCCCACCCCACCTGACTCCCAGCCCCTTGGAAGGCTGCCTCCTTGACAGCAATTATCATATCTGTAATTTTAAAAAAATATTCATTAACTAACATCCAGCCAGCCACAGTGGCTCATGTCTGTATTCCCAAGGCTTTGAGAGGCTGAGACAGAAGAATTGCTTGAGGCTAGGAGTTCAACACCCGTGAGATCCTGTCTCTACAAAAAAAAAAAAAAAAAAAAATGTGAGTCAGAGTCTCACTCTGTTGCCCAGGCTGGAGTGTAGTGGCACGATCACGGCTCACTGTAGCCTCGACTCCCTGGGCTCAGGTGATCCTTCTGCTTTAGTCTTCTGAATAGCTGGACTTTACAGGCTTGCACCACCAAGCCCAGCTAATTTTTTTTTTTGTAGAGAAAGGGTCTTGAACTCCTGGCCTCAAGTAATCCTCTGACCTTGGCCTCCCAAAGTGCTGCAATTACAGGCATGAGTCACTGCTCCCAGCCTACAGAAAATGTTTTAAAAACTAACCAGGTATGGTGGGACACACTGGTAATCCCAGCTACTTGGGAACCCAGAAGTTTGATATTATAATGAGCTATGTTCACCCCACTACACTCCAGCCTGGGCAACAGAAAGAGCCTATCTCTAAAAAATAAAAAATATTTTTAAAAAAGGTTTTTAAAAAAGTAAATTATTTAATATCCATCTCTCTTGCTAAAAAGTGAACACCTTAGGGGGTGCTGTGCCGAGTTTGTTCACTGCTGTAATTCTCCCCAGGCCTCGCACCTGCCTCTTGGGAAGCGTTGGAAAAACATTCTGAATGAGTAAATAAATATGGGATGTGTTGTCTGGCTTCCCCTGGCAGCCTTAAAGCACAGATTCCCTTAAAAGAGTTTTAAACAGAATTCAAAATTACAGAATATTACATAATTTGAACATAGAGCAAGCTGCTTTCATCACAGCTCTGGCAATAAAATCTGGAGAACTCTAGCTTCCAAAAACTATCTTATGATTCATTTCAAAAATGTTTGGTTCTGTACAAAACAAACAGTCTTTTTTCCTAAGACAAATGATCACCAACTCTCCATCTAAAACTTTTGTAGGAAGCCCTATGCTATGCAATGTAAACCGTGCCTCTGTGCACAAACAAACAAAGGGGGAAAAAACAATGCTTGTCAAAAAGGGACTCCTTAATTCAGGAGGCAGAAAAAAAAAACCCTGCAGACTGGGAGAAGCACAAGCAGACAGTTTCAGCAGCAGCGAATGCAGGCATCTCTGTCGTTTCTCTTAAACTGCCAGAATAGCAAAGTAGCAAAAGCTCTTGGTGCTGTGAGCGTGGAAGGCAGCAAACACCTTTCCCAGAAACTTGCTCAGGCTGGGCAGTGACCGTGAGCCCCGAGAGATGGG